GCCGGGTTCTCAGGGGACGAGATTCTCACTTCACAAACGCGGGGGGGGGGGGGCAGGGTTACACGCAAAATGGGCGTGCACGCTAACGGCCAACGCATGGCTAGCAGGCGGGAGCTCTCATGGTGGTGGTACCTGGCGAAGACTTGGCGGGTGCGGACGCGTTCTTGGCACACACCCCCGTCGCCGTTTCGTCGTCATCCTCGTCCGGACCCCCCACCGCTCCCCCGGCCACAGCGGCCGGCGAGGCGGGGCAATACCTCACGCGGAGGGTTCGCTCCACGCCGGGACCCAGCGACAGCTCCTCGATGTAGTTGTTGGCCCGCTGCCCGGCGGCGTACCCTCGCCCGGCTGTGAGGTGCATAGAAGCCGAAACGAAGCGGTTAGTATCGGAGCAATTCGTACAATACCCCACGACAGTTTTCAATACAAACCGGAATCAAACCATTAGACTATTAGCGCTGACTATAATAGCCTATTTTCGTCTTCTGTAGGTGAAACGCGCGCCCCCAAGGGCGTAAAGCGGTATTGGAAAAGACATTGGAAAAGACAAACGCTTCACATGTGGTCCGGATAGAAGGAGGATGGTCCATCTTAGACTCTGATGCTTGCTTGGGTTTGTCCCCAATTTATCCGCCTCGTTGAAAACAAAAGTAAGAATACCGTGCGGCGAGACGAAAGAATGCGACCCCCGCCCCCCCGCCAGTAAATCTCAGACAAGCCGCCCGTACCCAAAAAACAAAACCGAGAAAGGGAACCGCCGCTTATCCATACTCTTTGTGCACCACCCACCCCACCTCGCACATACCTGCGATGCTGCTCCGCTCGTCTCTCCATCCGGCTGTCCCCTTCCTCCACGCTCGACCTGAAGCCTCCGCGCAAACCCGACAATCCCCCCCTCCTCTAAAAAATGAATCTCCCGCGGCCTTCCCGTCGTCGCCTTCCCCCCTGCCTCCTCCTAACCCGCCGCTGCTATTGCCGGCGCCAACCTTGCTATTTACACCGCCGCCATGATAGGCGCACAGGTCGCCGCCTCCGCCTCCACCTCCGCCTCCGCCCCCGCCGAAATGAAGATTGTGACTTTGGCGGCGCTTGCGCCAGGCGGTGCGCCTGTATTTGGACACGTCCATCTCGTCCTCGTCGTCGTCCTCATCGTCGTCCTCGTCGTTACCGTAGGTGCTGCGGCACCCTCGCCGCCCCTCGGCGTACGACCCCCAGTCCCCTACCCCGCCCAGCGGCCTCCGGCCGCTCCCGTGTCTGAGAAGACCGCCGCCGGAGTCCCCGCCGCTGCCGCCGCCACCGCCGCCACCGCCACTCCCTCTACGCGAGGAACGGGCCCGCGCCGTGGCTGCTGAAACTCCACCGCCGTCTTCAGAAGGGGAGGTGGGCTCGAGGCCGGCGGCGCCGGCGCCGGCGCCCCCGCGGTAGTCAGCAGCGTCTTCTTCCTCCTGTTCTTCCTCTCCGTCCTCGTCATAGTCGTCGCCACCACCGCCGCCGATGTTGGACCTGCCGCCCCTACGGTGGCCTCGCCTAAACCTAAACCCGTGGGCCCCTCCCCCGCCGGCGCCGCCGCCGCTGCCACTGCCTCTGCCGCC